TGCCAGGACAACCTCCAAAACAATACAGAGAAACCCTGTCTCGAAAAACCAAAACCAAAACAAACCAAACCAGAAACAAAACACCCTGCCCTTCTTACCACTCTGTAATCTCTTTCTCCCCACTAAAATGTAAATGACAAAGAAGCAACAATAGCTTTCTGGTTTTGTTTTCTCCTCGATGCCCCCTGCTTAGAACAGTGCCTGGTGCAGAGAAAGCACTCGAGAGCTGATTTTGATAATTCTTTCTTTTTCCTCAACGAAAGGGACCGAGCCTACAGCTTCGGTTTGCTAGGCAAGAGATCCATGGCCGCGCTGCAGCCCAACCCACCTAATGACTGTGAAGAAGAGAATTCACAAGTTTCCTTTGCCCCCATTCATTTAAATAGTCCTCCCTGTTTCTTCCCACTAATCATACGGAGCTGACTATTAACCACCTGGAACGTTATCAGTGAGGCTTGGGGATGATTTAACAAAAGTATACATTTTACTATTAGTTTTGTGGTGGGGATGGTGGGCTTAGAAACTAGAGCTATGCACAGGCTACGTAAGTTCTCCACCACTAGACCCGTGAGTTAGAAAGTTTCATGAACTTCCCGCCACCGCAGACTGGACGCCGTACAACAGCTGCTTCCAAAGGATTAAATACACTGTCTTGCATCCCGACTTCCTGGCACGTGAATTACTCGTCATGCTAATTACCGAGCCAGACAAACCACAGAGAAACCCTTGTTAGGATTCAACGCATTGTGTCCCCCGACTCCTAAGTCGTTAGCCCCCGCCTCACCTGCTGGTATGTGTTGGTGGCGATAATCGGGCGGATCACGGGAGCTGCAGGGACCTGCATGGCTTCCACCGTGGGCACCGCAGTTGGGATTCCGGTCACCGGAGCTCCCAGGACTTCTTGCTCAAACCTGAGGGGGTAGCGGGACAGACAACCACAGGTCAGGTCCTCTCACCGAGGCTGGAGCGCTGGGCGCATCGCGACAGCGCCTCCACCCCAGCCGAAGCCTCCCCGGCGCACGTCCCCATGCCCCGGGTTCCTCGGGTTCCCCACGGCCCCTCACGGGGGCCGCATCTCAGGCCTCTGAAGACCCGGAGGCTCCGGGGGTGGACTGGGTTCGCCCTGAAACCGCGTTTATTTCCCCTGCTCAGCAGGGCCTTACAGGGCCATCTCCGCCTCCATTTCTTTCAAGCGTTCCTCGCCGCTCTTGCCCGGGAGGCCAACACCAGGCCCCGGGACCACGGGCCCTCCCGCAACCGGGAGTCCCGGTGCCGGCCCCGCCCCTGCCATCGCTTGTGCCGTCGCCTCCACTGCTCCTCTCAGCCGCCGCCGGCGCGGATTCTACGGGCGAGTCCCCCTGGCTCCTCCGGGAGGGAGCCGGCCGCTGACGTGTAGACGGGCGCGACGGGCGCGCCGCGTGACGCAGGAGGCCCGGGACCCGGGCCAATCAGATATGGCCACACCCCGGATGAGTGCGAGCCAATCAGAGTGTCGGGATGGCCGGGAGGGGGGAGGACCCGGAAGGGCCGCGCGTCGGTTCGGAGCGCCTTGGAGCGGGAAGGCCACGCCTTCCCGGAGGAAGGTGGGCCAATGGGAGCGGAGTACGTCAGTCAGGCCCGCCCACCCCCGCCGTGGAAGCCGGAATTTGGAAGAGGCACGGAAATTCGGAGGCCCTTCCAGAAGTTTGTAAACAAGGCCGAGGCGCCGCCTGTCCCGGGGCGGGGGTCTCCCGACACCCCGGCAGGCGTCAGCTCACTGTCATATTAGCCTTGCCAACTGCCTCCAGGGTCTTCCTGTGGGGTTTAGTCTGGCCCCTGAGCCCAGGTTTGGCGCTCATTAAGTAGCCTAGGTTGCCCTCCGACTGCTAGAAATCCTCCTGCATCAGCAGGGCGGTGGCGGCGGCGCACGCCTTTAATCCCAGCACTCGGGAGGCAGAGGCAGGTGGATCTCTGTGAGTTCGAGGCCAGCCTGGTCTACAGAGAAACCCTGTCTCGAAAAAAGAAAAGGAAAAGCGAAATCTTCCTGCCTCAGCCTTCCAAGTACTGGAATTGTAGGTACGGATCAACATTTTGACTTTTATGCTAGAGGCATCTAGAGAGAATTGAAGATTTTTGTTCGTTTTTTAATTCAGGGCTGGCCCTGAGCTCAGAGATCAGCCGCAGCTGTCTGTCTGCCGACTGCTTCACCAAGCCCGCGAATATTTTCCTGAATTCAGTAAGGCTCATGGGTTATCCAGTTCCCTAACGTCCCTACTGCGTTCCAGATCTCACCATGATGTCACTTGTCGGTTCCACTCTGTGGGCTCTTCTCCCCCGTTACAGGTTTGAGGAACGCTCGTTAGGTGTTTTGTAGCATATTCTTCATGTGGTTTTGATTTTCCCCCCCTCATCGTTATTCTGGTCACGGATCTTTGGTGAAAAGGCCACAGAGGGTAAAGTGAATTTCTCCTCAGAGCCCAAGAATACTAATTATACACATGGTTATCACCGATTGCTCGGGTGAGGTCATATTGAGCGTTTCACTACAAAATTCCTTTAAAAAGTGCCTTTTCTGGGGCTGGAGGGATGGAGGTTAAGAGCCCTGAATGCTCGATCTTTCAGAGGTCCTGAAACCACGCAGTCCATCACAACCATCTGTAATGAAATCTGGCACCCCCCTCTGGCATGTAAACTTACGTGCAGACAGAATACTTCATAACATTTTTTAGAAAGTGCTTTTCTGTACCCTAGACACCATCAAGTGCAACCTTAAGGAATAGGGAGTTACATGTCAACTTTTTCATACAGGGTCTCCATATTGCTCAGGTTAGCATTGTCTCAACCTCCTCAATTCAGGGACTATGTGTGTATTATGTGTGACTTTACTATATATACCTCCTGGAAGAATATATACGTAAATTATTAGAAATACTGCAAGTGGGAGATTCCTTTATTTAATCATTTATGTCAATATAGACTCATGAAAATTTATGCCTTAGGTAACAATTGACATCTTGCTGTGTAGTTCTGGAACTCACCATGCTGACCTCAATTCCTAGCAGTCCTCCAACCTGTCTTTTGAGTGCTAGGATCACAGATAAAGACCACAGGTGTGGGAGCCGGCCTCAGATGGTGATGGGAAGGCCAGCATACTTCATAGCTGAATCCTGTCCCATCATGTTAAGCTGGGCAGTAGGAGTTACGAGCTACTTTTTAAAGGGATGTCTGGACCAGTGGAGTCTCACTGTGCAGCCCACATCAAACCCAGCATCTACTGTCTCCCCAGTGATGGGACCACAGGTGTACCACCTTACTGGGTAGCTTTTCTTTGACTTGTCAGAGTGTCTTAGGTGGCTCTGAAGTCCCCACTGGCCAGTTGTTCTAAAGAACCTCCTCCTTAGCCAGTCGTTGGTGGCGCATGCCTTTAATCCCAACACTCGGGAGGCAGAGGCAGGCGGATCTCTGTGAGTTCGAGGCCAGCCTGGTCTACAGTGCAAGTTCCAGGACAGCCTCCAAAACAATAGAGAAACACTGTCTCGAAAAAAACAAACAAACAAAAAAAGGAACCTTCTCCTTGTTTTCTTGTTTTTTTTTTTTTTGGTTTTTTTTTTTGTTTTGTTTTTGTTTTTGTTTTTCGAGACAGGGTTTCTCTGTGGCTTTGGAGGCTGTCCTGGAACTCGCTTGGTAGTCCAGGCTGGCCTCGAACTCACAGAGATCCGCCCGCCTCTGCCTCCCGAGGGCTGGGATTAAAGGCGTGCGCCACCAACGCCCGGCTCTTCTCCTTGTTTTCTGACACACAACAATTCCTACACATTTTGCATACATCTTTCCCCAGGATTCCTGGCTCCTTTTAATCAGAAATGGCACCTTGAAACCACAGTGTGGCACCAGGATTGTTCACATTTTTCTTTTGTTTTGTTTTGTTTTCGAGACAATGTTTCTCCAGCTTTGGCTTTGCCAGAAGTCACTCTGCAGACCAGGCTGGCCTCAAACTCACAGACATCTGCCTGCCTCTGCCTGAGAGTAAAGGTGTATGCCACCACTACCCGCTACTATGTTGTCATCTTATTTACCCTGAATGTTTTAGGAAAATCAAGTTGCATTTCTAATGCAAATACAATATTGTAGGGTATTCACATTGTCTCATCTTATGAGGAATTTAAATAACAATGTGCGTGTCCACGTGCACACCACAGCATAGGTGGTGGACGGGAGACAACTTGCAGGAGTTGATCTCTCCTCCTACCATGTAGTTAGGTCCCAGGAATTGAACTCAGGTCATCGGGTTTGACGGTCAGTGTCCTTACCCAGTGAGTCATCTTACAGCCTCCTGCAGGGTTTAACAAGTGTTATTGAGATGTGCAAAGTAAGAAAATATCAGATTATTTTCTCAGATAAACTACAAATAGCTCAGATTTAAGCATAAAAAAAGGAAAACTGTACAAACTATAAAACCTGCGTTGGAGTCTGAATCTGAAACGGTCCATACAGGTTCGTGTGTGTGAACATTTGGTCTCCAAATGTTGGTGCAGCTTTGTGAGGTTAGTGAATTTTGGGATATGGGGACCGTGTAGGAGTGGGTTGCTGGCAGTGAGCCTGGAAGTCTATTCATCTCTGATTTCTACTCAATATTCTGTCTCCAGATCCATCATGATAGGAACAGCTCCATTTTGGCAAGGGACTGCTGCCACACCCACCTGCGGCCTTCCCGATCACCTTCCCAGCAACACCCTTAGCCTACTTAACGTCTCCGTGGCACTTAGGTTCTGCTGTACCATACCGTCAATCACCTTGCCAGCCGGCTAGTTCCCTCTCCTAGGCCACTAGGTCCCTGAAGGCAAGGGCTTTGGTCCGTTTGATTTACTCTGCTAAGGAGGAGAGTGAAGCAGTCAATCTAAGGCGTAAGGTCCAAAGTGCCCCCTTCTTTCGGCTTCAGTGGGAAGAGAGCCGGGGGGACCACAGGATGGCAGCCAGAGGGAACTGAAGGTCTGTGCCGACATAAAGCTGACAAAGGCAGGCAATACTGTCAAATGCTTTACTGAGGGAGGTGATCTGGGGGTTAAGTACTATTTATTTTTTAAATAGGATCTTATGTAGCCCAGGCTGGCTAGAAATCAACAGCAGTCCTCTTTCCGTAGCCTCCTGAGTAGGGACAATAGTCTCACACTACTGGGCTGGTTGCAATTCTTCTTCTTTTTTTTTTTTTTTTTTTGGAGACAGGGTTTCTCTGTTTCTCTGTGGCTTTGGAGGCTGTCCTGGAACTCTCTTGTAGACCAGGCTGGTCTCGAACTCACAGAGATCTGCCTGCCTCTGCCTCCTCCCGAGTGCTGGGATTAAAGGCGTGCGCCACCACCGCCGGGCTAAGTCGCGATTCTTGACTCCGCTCCTAGCTGCGTCTTCATTTGTACGGCTGCTGCAGTGCTCTGCAGGCCTGGGCCCAGCGTAGCTGCCACTGGGGCAGGGACAGGCCCTGGCAGAGCTCCCCGGAGAGGGTGGCCTGGCCTGGCTGCTCCCACCTGGGAAAGGGATGGTGTCTGAGAAAAGCCCCATCCTCCAGACCCTCCTATCGTGGCAGCTCAAGTTGTGAGCCAGTTGGTTCTCGAACGCCCCATCTCACCAGTCCCCAACGAGCCGCCGCAGCTCGGGGGATTCGCTCCAGTGCCTGCTTGGCCAGGTCCTCCAGCTTCTTGAGCGTCTGCCCCATGTCCTCCCTCTGCTCCTTCTCCTGGGCCGCGTTGGTCTGCAGCAGCTCTGGAGGTGACAGTGGGGAGGTAGCTTGTGGTCTTGGGCTGAACAGAGCTTCATGCCCATTTCCAGGGTCCCTATCTCAAGAATGCCACCGTTAAGGCTTCAGCCTGGGCTTTCCTGCCTTCTGCCCCACGGGCCACCAGTCTCTGACACACACCCAGCGACCTCAGTTTCTTTCTCTTCTCCATGGCCTCTTTCCCAGGCCTCGGGAGGAAGAGGCAAGAGGGTGAGATACATTACGGAAAATAATAATAAAAGCGAACCAGCCAACCTTCATTGTACCACGTGGCCAGGCTGCTAGGCCTTGTGCACCTGAGCTCCCTGCTCTGTAACTGGGGGGTGGGGGGGGTTGGGCAGTGCGGAGAGCCAAGAGCTGGCTGGGCAGCCGAGACAAGCCAGCGTGTTTCAGCACACTGTGGTAGCGGGGTTCTCAGCACTTCAGGAAGCCCGTGGTGGCGCACACTGGAAGGGATGCTGGGTAAGAGAAGTCGCCGTACCCTGGGTGGATGGTCCCAGAGGCAGACCGCTCTTCACGTGAGGATTTGCTTTTTGGAAATCCCTCTGGTCTTGGAGAAACAGAAGATCTTGGCGGAGAGAGGCAGCCTTTGGAAGCAGTAGCTCCGGTGCCTGGGGGAGGGAGGGGGGGAAGGATGGTCATCTGGGCCGCAGGATCGGGACTGGCACGGGCAGAGAGGTCACGGGGCACAGGCACATACTTTCCCTACAGGCAGCCCCAGCGTATGGCTCAGCGAGATGTGGCTGGAACTCCTTGGGGCAGCGGGGTGCAGCTGCTGGATGGATGGTAGGATCTTGGACAGCGGCTTCAGGCTGGGGGCAGCAGTAGAGCACTAAGCTGTATTTCCAGAAGCTCTGGGGGCGGGGCGGGGGGGAGGGGGCAGGGACTTGGAGGTGGGAGACCAGATTGAAGCTAATGATAGGGGGTGAGGTTTGGCAGTCTGGGGACCCCGCGTGCGCGTCACGTGCATGTGTGTGGAGGCCTGGGATGGATGCCTTCTTGATCACCTTTATTTTCCGAGAGTGTGGCTCTCCTCTACCTGGACCCAGCCCCGGCGTTACCCAGGTGAATGGTGTTTCCTAGGGAAGACAGGCTAGTCCCAGTCTCCCCCCTTGGCACGGTACCACAGCAGGGGCCTCAGCGGAATGTGGGGCAGGCCTTGCGCTTCCTCCTTCAAGCGGTGGAGCAGCTCCTGGCTCTGCGGTGCCACTGCGTCTGCGGTGGGAACGACCTTCTGCTGCATCAGGGCCAGCACCTGTGGGATGGGGACGGTGGGTGGGGTGGGGTCTGGACCCCCCTCTCCAGCCAAGCCTTGCTCAGCGTTCACCTTACCTCCTCTGGGCCCCGGCTCAGGCGGGTCTTGATGACCGAGTTATCCTTGATGAGCAGGCGGATCTGTTCCTGGGTCTCCTCCTGGAGAATCAGGACGCCATGACACTAGGCTCCTGTCCTTCCCACTGCCCAGAGCTGCCCACCGCTCCTTACAGGGTCCAGGGTCCTGCTTCTTCATGGGAGTCTCACCTTGGGTCCCCTCCCCACTCAGAGGCCCAGTTCATTTGTTCGTTCCTCCCCTCCCTACCCCTTAAAAGTTTTTTCAGAGTTATTTTTACTTCACGTGTACGGGTGTTTCGCCTGTATGGATGGCTACGCACTACACGCATAGTACTCCCAGAGGCCAAAAGAGGGCGTCCGAGCAAGTCCCAACAACGAGCTGCCATGTAGGTGCTGGGAACTAAACCCAGGTTGTCTGGGAGAATATCCGGTATTATTATATTTTTTCAAGACAGGGTTTCTCTGTGTAGTAGAACTCGCTCTGTAGAATGGGCTGACGTGGAACTCAGAGATCCATCTGCCTCTGCCTCTGGAGTGTTGGGATTAAAGGTACGCGCCACCACCATCCAGTGCGGCTAGAACTCTTTAGCTCTGAGCCTCTTCAAGCCCTGGAGGCCCAGTTCCCCATCCCCAGGCCTCCGCTCTGACCCCTCCCACAGGCCCAGTATCTCACCACCAGCTGGCGCCACTGCAGGATCTGCTGCTGCTTGGCCTGCAGCTCTCGAAACAGAAGTTGCTGGTGCCCAGCCGAATTCTTCAGTTCCTGGCACTGGGCATGAAGAGACCTGAGCTCTGCCCTCCGGCCGCTGCACTTAAGCCCCAGCAGCAGGACTTTCCTAGGGGGTGGAGGGGAAGAGAGCAGAGACTGGCAGCCGCCACACTGGGGGGACGGAATCTTCAGGGAGGCATGAGGAACCCCGACACAGGAGAGGAAGGAGCGAGTGACAGGCAGTAGCCCCCACCTCTTGGGAGAGGGCGTCTGCTGAAGGATGCTCTCTCTTACCTCTCACTGGACTCCGGAGCGTGTCTTCCCAGCTCCTCCCCCACTAGGCTCTGGAGGCGGTCAGTCAGGGCTTGATACTCCTCCAGGAGCCTGCTCCTCTCCGTATAGAGTGCGCCTATAGCCTGCCAGCCCTCCTGGGGGTACAAGGTCTGGGTTGGCAGGGTTGCTCCATGGGGAGAGGGGCTCAGTGGGTCTTAGGGAGGTGTCTCAGGTTACCTGGATGAGGTGGGCGATGGGTGGCAGGGCCTGGCCGCCGGTGTTTGACGGGTCCGGTGCCTGGGGGCTGGGGCGGGGACAGAGCAGCTGAAGGAGCAGCCTCTGCTTTGGTCTTGACGAGTGCGGCCGTCAGTATCACCCCTCCCCAGCTGATGGCCGGCACTCTGTCTACCCACTTGCAGGACGCTGCTGGCTCCTGGCTACAGGAGCATTTTCCGCACACCTGGACACGGCCTCTTCTTTGAGCCCGCTGCACAGGGACCGGATCTCCGTCTCCCGCTCTGCGGCCAGGTACTTCAAGGCAGCCAGAATGTGGCCTGCGGGGTGGTTTGTCAGCAGTGTCTGGCAGGGACAGGTGGGACATCAGGGCAGGATGGTGATGCAGGGATGCTAGCCAGGTCTCCAGGGGAACGACTTATGGCTAGATGGTTAGGGGCTGGCAACTGGAAGTTCCATTAGGGAGCAGGAGGAGGTTCCCTTTCCCGACAGCCCTGCTTCTCACCTCAACTGAGCTCAGCCACTGTTGATGGGAACTTCTGAAGTGGGCGTCATCACGAGGGCTTCGGTGGATTTGGGCAAGGGGACAAAGAATACGGAGGGACACACCAATTACCCTCTAACTGTCACCACTACACGTAAGTAGGAGCTTTCATTGTCCCCACTGTATAGACAAGGGACACTGAGTTCATTCATATATGTCTACTAGACTTGAGCTCCCAATTATCTGAACTTGCTGTCCCGGGACCCATTACATGTCCTGTTCAGTTCTTGACCCTTCCTCCTAAGTAAGTCTCCTCGCCAGAGACCCCACCCTCATGCCCCAGCTGGGTAAGGCCCCACCCCACCCCAAACACAGTCCTGATCACCTGGCTGTCTACAGAGGGTCTGCCTCTTCCTCATGCTAGCCTGGAGCTCTCACAGGACATGCTCCAGAAATCCAGTCTCGAATAAATTATAAACCAGCGATCCCCTGCCCCTCACGCCTGCCCAGGGCCCTGGAGCCTGTGGACACTCACAGGCTACCGCCTCCCTTGGCCTGGGGTGTGAGAAGGCTCTGCAGGAACTGAGTCCGGAGGGAGCAGGCTGTCTGGACATCACGCTAGGGGGAAGAGGGGCACACGTGGGTTCCAGGCCTCTGCTCGAGCCCTGACTCCCACAGCTCCCGCACAGCCAGCCCAGGACTCTCACCAACACATCAGGCTCCAGGGCTGGCGCTGCCGACACCAGAGGTCCAAAGGCGACGTCCACTTGGGTTTTCCTGCAAGGAGAGTATGAGCTCTAGGGACGGAGTCCTAGGGAGAACAGATGTCTGTGTGCCCCCTCCACTGGCTCCTGCGGGCCGTGTCTCGGGCTGGGCTGCCGTCATCTCCTACACTAGCCTCCTCATTGGTCTATGTAGTCTGTGGCCTCTGGTCTGAGCTCAGTGGCCGGCCGCCATATTAGAATCTGGGTGAAGTCAGGCGAAGTGGCTCAGGCCTGAGACATTAACACTGGTTCCTCGGGTTGTGGTGACCCCCAGCCCGGCAATTATTTTCACTGCCACTTCATAACTCTAGTTTTACTACTGGTATGAACCAATGTCAATTATCTGTTCTCTAACAGCCGTGAGTGACCACCGGGAGAGGGTCTCCGGATGCAAGGGGGTGGTGGCCCACAGGTTGAGAACCACTGGGTTCTAGCGCTCAGGGGGTTGAGACAAGAAGATCACCGGAAGTCTGAAGTCAACCTGGACTACACAGTGAGCTGCCAGCAAGGGGTGGGAATTGAACCCAGGTCCTCTGAAAGAGCAGTTGGTGCTCTTGACCTCTGAGTCATCTCTTCAGCCCCCAGGGCTACATAGTAGGTTTCAGGGCTGCCAGCCCGAACTACTCTGTCTCAAAACAATAAGAAGACGAACTCGATTTGGCTGGGCCTGGCACAGGCCTATCATTCCAGTTACCATGGAAAGCTGACACACATGCCCTGCTTGCAACCAAATTTAAGGCCAGCCTAGGTAACTTAGTGTGACTTTGTCTCAAGTTTTGTTTTGTTTTTTTTTTTTTTTGTTTTTTTTTTCTAGACAGGGTTTCTCTGTGGCTTTGGAGGCTGTCCTGGAACTCGCTCTTGTAGACCAGGCTGGCCTCGAACTCACAGAGATCCACCTGCCTCTGCCTCCCGAGTGCTGGGATTAAAGGCGTGCGCCACCAACGCCCCGCTTGTTTTGTTTTTTTGAGACAGGGTTTCTCTGTATTGTTTTGGAGGCTGTCCTGGAACTCGCTCTGTAGACCAGGCTGGCCTCAAACTCACAGAGACCCGCCTGCCTCTGCCTCCCGAGTGCTGGGATTAAAGGCGTGCGCCACCAATGCCCGGCTTCAAGTTTTATAGAAAGGAAAAAAAGGGCAAGTTGGGGCCAGAGAGACGGCTCCGTGGTTGAGAGCAGGCATGGCACTTGTCCAGGACATGGTTTTTGAACACAGTTAGTGGTTCACAACTGTCTGTGACCCCAGCTCCAGAGACCTGAGGCACTCTGGCTTCCACGGGCACCTGTGCGCATAAACTCACACAGGCACACATACACACATAAGTGCAAACAATAACTAAATCTGCAAATCAACAAGCAGCAGGGCAAGGGTTGGACGTGGCGGTGCACACCTTTGATCCCAGCACTTGGGAGACAGTGGCAAATGGATCATTGTCACTTTGGGGGCAGCCTGGTCCACATAAACCCTGTCTAAAACAAAAACCAAACAGAGGGTAAGGGATGCAGCTGAGTAGTAAGCACTTGTTTAGTACATGTGAGTCTGAGGTCCAGTGTTGAGTACTACTACATAAAATGGCTACGTGGAAGGGAGAGAGGGCTCAGAGGTTAAGAGCTCTGTCTGCTCTTCCAGAGGTCCTGAGTTCGATTCCCAGCACCCATGTGGCACGATTCCAAACCCTCCCCAACATGACACTTTCCTGTGGCACTCAGAACAGTTGCAGACATCTGCCCACGTTCCACGATTCGGATTCACCTAATTCTTACACTAACTGGAGAGGCTGAGCATTACCGCCCCTCCATAAATCTTAGAAATCCAGGTGCCCAAGGGAATAGAACTCCTTATCCCGATGGCCCTTATGTTACAGCTGGAAGCTCAGAATTCTGGAAGCAGAAAGGTGGAGCAGCAGGGTGTCCGGGGAGGAGGTCTAACCCTCCCTGGGGAGGCTGAGCCCCACCTCTGCATGTCCTGCAGGTGACCAAGCTGATCCCGTAGCCTCTGCGTGGGAACTTGCAGCCCACGCTGCTGTCTCTGCACAGCCGCGCCTTTGGCCTGGAGGAGAAGCGTTCGATGCTGGGTTTCTTTCAGGCTCTGCAGTGTTTGCGCCATGGTGACATCTGTGGGAGGAACAGGGTGGGGTCAGCACCTCCCTCATCCAGGGTTTCACTGCCCCCCATCTGGCTGGCCCCATCAGTCACCCTGAGCCTCAGTCTCTCGATCCATCAGCTCCAGGCTCTGGTCTAGCCCGTGGCTCTCTTCTCGAAGGCGGGCCAGGGTGGCTTCCAGCTCCAACTTCCGACGGACCTGGTGGCATCAGGTACAGGGTCAGAGGGACTTACTGGGGCTTAGCCTGGCTGGACTGCCTTCTGGGTGGCACTAGGCCCCTCATCTCCTGGGAGACGGATGACACAGAAGCACTAAGAGTTTATCTGGCTCTCTCTGTCCTGGGATTACCTCCCAGTCTTCTTGGTTTTCTGTGTGGTGACTCCCATGTCTCTGTCAAAGGCCTTTTCTCATCGAGACAGGGTTTTTGCTGTGTAACTAGCTCAGCTTAGCTGTAAACTCCCAGTCCTCTTGCTTCAGCCTCCAAGTACTGGGGTAATTAAAAAAAAAATGGCTCTCGAAAGGAAGACGCCATGCAACAGGGTTCAAGCAGAGGGTTTTGTTTTGTTGTAGGGAAAGGGATCATAAGCAGGAGAAAGCGAAGGAGGGAGACCGGCCTCTGGAGACAGGAGAGAGGAAAGAGGGGGAGAGGAAGAGAGGAACAGAGAAGAATGGGAGGTGGGCAAGGCCTTTTTTGGGGGGGTTCGAGACAGAGTTTCTCTGTGGCTTTGGAGGCTGTCCTGGAACTTGCTCTGGATACCAGGGTGGCCTTGAACTCACAGAGATCCCCCTGCCTCTGCCTCCTGAGTGCTGGGACTAAAGGCGTGCACCACCATCACCCGGAGTGCAGGGCCCTTTTAAAGGAGAACAGTGACTAGGCACAGGTGGTGCTCTTAGTGGTTGCAGTTGGGGGCGTATCCTGTCAGAACCCCAAGGACCGGCCAGTACAGACGCCTGAATACCAACAACCACCACACCAAGCTTTTGTCTTAAGTCTTCAAAAAGTGTGTGTGTGTGTGTGTGTGTGTGTGTGTGTGTGTGTGTGTGTGTGTGTGATGCACACCAGTGGAGGCCAGGTGTTGGATCCCCTAGACCTGACAACACAATTGGTTGTTAGCCATCTGCTCTGGATACTGGGATCTGAACCGGGGTGCCCTTAATTGTTGACCCACCTCTCCAGTGTCTCCCTCCTAGTCTTGACCTCCTTTCTGTGTCCCTTGGCAGCTCCCAAACCCATCCTTTCCCCACTGTTGTTCATTAAACGTAGTAGCCGCCCCTTGTTCAACTGCTGTCCTAACTGGCAGTTGCAACCCCCCAGCTACCATTAACGGTTCAGCTGCACCGGCCATAGCTCCCTATATTCCCCAGCTTGTGCCTGGCTCCCCCTGCTGGGTGTGCAAAGATCTGGGCTGTTTTGTGGCACGGTGCCCCTGCCATCCAGCACCCCTGGGGCCTAGGGCCAAATATTTGCAAGCTCTTTTTTTGGCTGAACGAAGAATCTTAACAGCACAGGCTTCTCACCTTTGAATTGTCCTGATGGCCATACCTAGAGAAAAAGAGACCAGAGTTCGGGGATGGCTGTGGATGAGGGCATGGCTACCCAGGACCGGGGGAAGGCAGCAAGGGATGGCATTTTAAGAAACAGTTACCAGAGGAGGTTTCCCCGGACCGTCTTGATACTCCTGCATTGGAAAGACGGAGGGAGAAGAGTTGCCGAGGCCCTCCTATGGCCCTCTCCCTCCCCGGCCCCCCACTCCCCGCAGTAGCTTGGTTTACCTTTGACTACGCACATGCTGCACAACGTAGGCCCAGATGTCAGCCCCCTGACCCAGACACATCCTGAAGAGATACAGCATAAGGTAAGCTCGGGGCATCACCAGGAGGAGGGGGACCCTCCGCCATCCCCAGGAGAGGGCTAGCTGTAGGCGCCTCCCCAGAGGTGGACGCTGAAGTCTCCGCCCAGGAAAAGATCTCTCATTAACGGGGGCATTCACGGGTCACTGCTCCTACAGATAACGGTCCTCAATAGGACGACTATTGCTAAGCGCCTAGTGTCATCTTCGCCTAGGGTGGCAGAGGCCAGGAGGTGGTGCAGGGACCGCCTTGCCCTGCAGACCCTATTTTCACACTGTGGTTAGAGAGGGGCTCCAGCAGCTCTTGGACTACGATCATAGGTGTCCGGGATTCTGCCTGGGCTCCCCATTCAACGCCAAGATTCTTTTTTTTTTTTTGGAGAGATCACTCTGGGTGGGGGTGTGTGTGGGGGCTCTCAGTTGCCCGAGGGTTGGGGCGGGTGTGTGTGTGTGGCATCCTCGGTGAGGGCTGGGGAACCTCACTCCTGGAGGCTAATTCCAGGCTGGGGAGTCCTCCCTCCAGGAGCGGCCTCACCTGCGCAGCGTCGACTCCCCGGGGAGGGCCGCTTGGGGCACCTCCATCTCTTCTGCAGCCCAGCGACTAAGCTCCCGCACTTTCTGCGTTAGGTCCATGGCTGTCAGGGAGCTCCCGCGCAGTGGCAGCTTCCCGCACTCTCCTTCAAGCGTGGCGCCCTGATCTGACGTCACGAGCGCGACGCTGAACGTCACCGGTTGCCAAGCCGACCGCGGGTCCTGCTTCTAGGTCTTGGAGCAAGGCGGCTTTTTACAGCGACTCTTCGACCTGCAGGGCCAGAAGAGGGCTGTCAGATTCCCGGAGATTATAGTTACAGATCGTGGCGAGCTGCCGTGTGGGCGAGGGTTCTCAGAAAGAGGAGCCAATGTTCTTAACAACTGAGCCGTGCTCCCAGCCCCATATATTTTGTTTTCTTGAGAAAGGGTCTGTGTAGGGACAGGCAGGCTAGAACTTGTCATCTTTCTGCCTCAGCCTCCCAAATTCTGCATGACGGGCGTGAGCTACTGATGCTTGGTGTTGTGTATTGTGGAATATCAATTTAAGATGTGTTAATTCGTTTATGCTGTGGAAAGATGTTTTTTAAAGATTTATTTATTATATATACAGCCTTTTTGCTTGCATGTATTCCTACACACCGGAAGGGGGCACCAGATCTCATTACAGATGGTTGTGAACCACCATGTTGGTTGCTGGGAATTGAACTCAGGACCTCTGGAAGAGCAGCCAGTGCTCTTAACCGCTGAGCCATCTCTCCAGCTCCCGTGTTGTATTCTTTTATGTTACATTTGTTTAACTCTGTAGAAACTGTGTTCCTTTGCTTTCCTAAAATACCTGGTCTAGTAAAAAGCTGAACAGCCAATAGCTAGGCGGGAGAGAGAAATAGATGGGTCAGCCAGGCAGAGAGAATAAATAGGAGGAAAAATCTAGGCTGGAGAGAACAGGAGGAGTTATGAGTGAGAAAAGGGGACGGAGAAGATGATGCCAGGGGCAGCCGCCCAGCCTCAGCCAGCCACAGCATCCGAAGGAAAGAAAGATATATAGGTATATAGAATAAAAAAGATAAGAACATACTTAAAGAGAAACAGGATTAAGTTAGAAAAGCTGGCTAGAAACAAGCCAACCTAAGACCAGGCATTCATTCACTAGTAAGAATAAGTCTCCATGTATTTATTTAGGAGGTGGGTGGCAGGTTCCCAAAGAGAAAAAAACAAAACAAAAAAATCAACTACAGTTTTGTTTCCAAAAGCACTGTCTCATGTCAGAATGGAGAATAAAAGGCAGAAAGCATGGCCTGAATATCTTCTTGGTATGCAGTCTTCTGGGCAGGCTGACCTTGAGCTCACAGAGATCTGCTTGCCTCTGCCTCCCGAGTGCTGGGATTAAAGGCGTGCGTCACTACCACCCAACCATTTTTAAATTCTTTAAATTCATTATTAACGTGTGCATGTGTCAGTGTACATGTAGGGAAAGGGGGCCAGCCAAAGAAACACACCCTGAGCAGAGCCAAAGAAACACACTTTGCCCCTGGAATCAGAGCCAGTGAAAGAAATACACCCTGGCCCTAAAACTAGAGCCAAAAGGCTAAAAATAACCAGAGAAAGAAACATACGTTGGCCCTGAAACCAGAGCCAAATCTGACCCTAACCTTGTGCAGAAAACTAACCAATCCTTGAGCAGGAGCTCTAACCAATCTGAGCTCAGCATTGAAATCTGACCAATCCCCACCCTAGAAGCTATATAAACGCTGTGTCTGTTTAGTTAGTGGCTGTCCGTGCTACCCAGCTGTCCTCTGCCAGAAGCTACTCTCCTGGAGTCTTCCCTCCCAATAAACCCCTTTGATAAGCTTTGGGTGAAGACCTTCTTTTGCTATGGAACAGAGGTGACCCTGGGCAGAGCAGAGCGAGCAGGGGAAACCTTACCCTGGCAGAGAGGAGGTGTTACAGTCAGCTCTCCACTCCGGGGAGCAGAGCTGAACTGTAGCAATTTCGCCGGGAAACCTGCCTGAGCAAAACTGCTACACTGGGCAAACATCCCCAGCTGGAAGACCCTGTCCTGCCGGAGCAGAGCCGATACATTGGGGAAGCCTTTCCCTGAGGCAGGGCTGTGAGCTGCTACGTTTATTGCGGCCTGTGGTAGTCATTGGCTCCGGAGCTCCAGGATACCTTTCCATCTGATCTGTGTAACACTCAGTATTCTATGACTCCCGAGCTCCAGGATACCTTTCCATCTGAGCTGTGTAACACTCATTATTCTGTCACTCCCGAGTGCCAGGATACCTGTCCCACCCGATCTGTCCGAAATGCCTACAGTACATACTACAACGCACCGTGGCGGTCAGAGGATGACTTGTGGAGTCAGTACTTGTCTTCTACATCTCCATGGGTCCCAGGATTGACTCTTGTCAGGCTTGCAAGCTCCTTTACCCATTAACGGGCCCATCTTGTTCACTTCCCCAGATTTCACTCTGTCATTTACAAAGCTGACTGCTCCATGATTCTGGTGACAGCATGGTGACAGAGATGGGCTCAGTCCTCGTTGTGGAGGGCTCACAGTTCAGTGGGGAAGAAAGTGTTTCATGGGGTGGGGATGTTAAAACGTATGCGGCGGGACTGAGTCATTTTGGGATAGAGAGAGGTCTGCAGGATGCCTTGGGATGCAGTGGACTATCATTCTGTGTTTTAATTTTGTTTCTGCTGCTTTTGTTAATGATGCAAAGATGTATCACATTTGATTAAATGGAATTAACCTGAGGTCAGGAGACTGCGTCAGCAACTAGTGGACAGGAAGTGGTAGGGAGGAGCTAAGTGTATCGAGGGTTCTTTAGTGGGGGCTGAGCAGAAGGATGTCCCCCCCCCTTTCTTTCCGGAAGTCGTGAGCAAGGAGAAGGTTAGCTATTTGCTATTCAGCCTCTCTGAGCCAACAGGATTTCACCTCAACCTTTGAATCCCGAGTTAATAGCAGGACAGAGATTTAGATAAAGTTGCCTTTAGCAGAGGCATAGAGCTGGTACCCGAGGGAACAGAACTCCCTCCAGCCGGAGCAGCTGAACCACTGCTGGTAGTCACAACTGCCGGTTGGAATAGCAGTTGCTCAAGGGGTAGCCGCTGTACAGAAAGAAAAGCCACACTGGGAAGTGTGAGTTCTGGAGCGCCCCGAGCTTAGGACAGATCTGGTGCGCTGTGGGAGAGAGTATGAGGCCCAGAGCTGAGGAACAGTCAGGCTCAGATAGGATTATGAAAAACGGCCACTTTTAGGGGCCTTCCATTGAAGTCTTGTGGTTCCACTGTCCAGGATGGAGTGCTTCTGTTTTTCTCATTTATCTTTTAATGCACCTGCATGTGAGTGTGTTGTACACCTCTGTCTGTTGTGCACCTCTGGTGTGTGCTAGTGAGCACCTCCCATATGTGTTGATTGATGTAGAAACCAGGGGAAGGCGGCGGGCATCTCTCTCTTAACTTCCTTAAAACAGGGTCTTTAGTTAGGCGCTTGGATCTAAGCTGGCAAGCTCCTGCCACCTCCTGCCCCAGCCCTCCCTCCACTCCTGCATCCAAGCACAGGAGTTGCAGGCATGCACAGCCGCCAGCCACGCTTGGGTTTTTCCTGCTCTCTGGGACTAAATCCAGGTCCTCATGTGAGCACAGTGTGTGCTTTTACGGTCGCCCGAAGCGTTTCCCAGCCCATTTCTTTCTCTTTGTCTGTTTTAAGACACAGTTTCACTGTGTAGACTTGGCTGGACTGGACTTTGCTCTGTAGACCAGGCTGGCCTTGAACTCGAAGATCTGTCTCTGCCTCCCGAATGCAGGGATTAAAAACCTCAACCGTGTTATGGAGTAGTCAGGTTGGCAGTTTATCTACTGCATCCATACACATATACCATAGAACAATGTCGTGAAGACCCTGTATACCAGACAAGGAAGGGCAGCAATATACAAGAGGAAGGAGACTAGACAGCCCTAAAATTGTCCTAGTTTACTGCCCAGGAGATCTCAGATGTTTGCACTGGGAGGGAATGCAGCAGAGCCCTGTCTTAGTTAGGGCTTATTTTTTCAAATAGATTTTTCAAGACTGGGTTTCTCTGTGTAGCCCTGGCTGTCCTGGAACTAGCTCTGTAGACCAGGCTGCCCTCGAACTCACAAAGATCTGCCTGCCTCTGCCTCCCGAGTGCTGGAATGAAAGGCGTGCGCCAGCACTGCTTACCTTAGGGTTGCTATTGCTATGAAGAGACACCATGACCGCATCAACTCTTACAAATGAAAACATTTCACTGGGGTGGCTCGCTTAGAGCTCAGAGATTCAGTCCATTATCATCATGGTGGGACATGATGCCAGAGAAGTAAGAGTCCTACATCTTGCAGGCAACAGGAAGTGGTCTGTCTCACTGGGAGTAGCTTGAGCATAGGAGTCCACCCCCAGCGACACACTTCTTCCAACAAGACCACACCCTCTCCAATAAGGCCACACCTCCTAATAGTGCCCATTACCTTTGGGACCATTTTCCTTCAAACCACCATATCCCCCCAGAAGGGAACACAATCCTCCCCCCGCCCAGGAGGGAACACAGCAGAGTTCACAATCCCCCTAAGCTGGGGATAAAGATCTAGGGCTGAGATCCACCATGGAGGGCCTCACTCTACCTGGGGATCGGAGTGGAGATTGGGTGGGGGGCTGGGGGGGGCCTGGTGGGGAGGGATATGGAGGAGGGGAGGGAGAGGGAGCTGGGATTGACATGTGAAACAAACTTGTTTTTAACTTAAATTTAAGAAAAGGAAAAAAAAGAGAGCTAGAGCTGCAGAGAAGCTAAGGCAGCTAGAATTCACAAGACAGAGAGGGAACCTGGAAGTCTGCGGAGGGCCTGCCAGGAGAGCGGTCCCCACGTGGGATCCAGGTGAGGAGACTAGCCCCGGGTGAAGGGTCAGCCATCCGGAACTACCTGAGCCCATGAAAGGCTAAGGGAAAGGGGGGAGGTGCCACAAGCCAAGGTGGGAAAAACTCCTCCAGTGGCCACTGAGTAAATTAAAAAGGAAATAGGAAGGAAGCGACATGACTGCTCCTAAGTATGGCGGAGGAGAAGGTTTATCACACACAAAAGGGAGAGCATAGCTTGAGACAGACACATCTGGAAGAGTCCAGAATAGACATGATCCTGACTGAGCTGGGTCACGTTGGGGAATCTTCCTTTACACCGTGTGAAGATGTGTCACTGTAATTGGTTTAATAAAAAAAAAAGCTAAACTACCAATAGCTAAGGCAGAAGGTATAGGCGGGATTTCTGGATCGGGAGAACCCCAAGAAGAAGAGTCAGAATCGCCAGACAGACAGACAGGAAGCAGGATGGACAGTAGTACAGTATGAGGGTAACCGAGCAACATAAAAGAATGTAGACGAAAAGAGATGGGTTAATTGAACTTATAAGAACCAGTCAGGCCGGGCGTTGGTGGCGGACGCCTTTAATCCCAGCACTCGGGAGGCAGAGGCAGAGGCAGGCGGATCTCTGTGAGTTCGAGGCGAGCCTGGTCTACAGAGCGAGTTCCAGGACAGCCAGGGCTACACAGAGAAACCCTGTCAAAAGTGACCCAGGGCTGGGTGTGACGGTGCATGCCTTTAATCCCAGCATCAGATGGATCTCTGGGAGTTCAAGGCCAGCCTAGTCTACAGAATTCTAGGATAGCCAGATCTGTTACACAGAGAAACTCTGTCTTGAGAAACAAAACAAAACAAAACAAAAAAAACAAAAAAAACAAACTGACCCAGGGCCCATGAGCTAGCTCAGGGGTAAAGGCCTTATTTTCCTGACAATTTAATTTGCAATCAAAGGAGGAAAAAGACAGATAAAAGAGCAGTACCTGCTGGTCACACCACCAAGTCCAGGACCAGAGCCCCACTTGGTGTCCTGATGCCCACCGCCCCACCCCCAACCCGGGCGTGGCTCATCCTTGCCTTCATCCTGGGTCTCCATCTAGAGCACGGCAGAGTGAATCCATAAAGACCCGAGTGTTGGCGTCAGCTGTGGAGTCTGCTGCCTGAAGTGTTGGGCAGCGTGGTGTATGAGCTGCAGGAACGGTACGATATCATTGCTGTTATCGTTTTTTTTTTATTTCTGATCTCGATAAGCGTGGCACGCCGGACATTAAAGAGCGGCTGGTCTGGCGAGTCTGAAGTTGCAGGCGGGGTTAGGTTGTGGTGTTGTATGTTTCCGATGGTTTGTTCCAGGACTGTGACAGACGATACAAGAGGAGGTAAAATAGGAAGAGAACAAAGAATCCTACAATGATGGAGGCCAAGGCAAAAAGGAAGGTGCGTTTGGAAGTGAGTAGTGCCTTCTCGTATTCATTCTGTTCCTTGTAGATTACTGTCTGAGTTTCAGGGAGATGGAAAAAAGGGGGAAAGATGATCTTTAAAGGGGTCTCGGGCAAGCTGGGCGTTGGTGGCGCACGCCTTTAATCCCAGCACTCGGGAGGCAGAGGCAGGCGGATCTCTGTGAGTTCGAGACCAGCCTGGACTACCAAGCGAGTTCCAGGACAGCCTCCAAAGCCACAGAGAAACTCTGTCTCGAAAACCCAAAAAAAAAAAAAATGGGTCTCGGGCAGTGGCTCGAGAGATGGCTTGGTGCTTAAGAGGCCCCCAGGGCTCTGCAAGAAGTCCGGGGTTCAGTTCCCAGTATCCATGTCAGGGGCTCACAGCTATCTGGATACCTCCAGCCCCAGGGGGATCTAACACCTTCTGGACTCCAGAGGTACTAAACACACACACACACACACACACAAACACACGATGCACGTAATAAAATAAATATTTCTAAAAGGGTTCTGAGACAGAGGATGAAGTAGGGAACCAAAAGGATCCAACATGGGGCGTGGGGTACGAATCTGCAGGAAGCAGGGGGTGTCTGGGAGGAGAGGGGTGAAGACAGGTGTAGTATGGGGTGCTACCTTGAAGTAGAAGAGAAAGGCTAAGGAACCCATTGGAAGGAAAAGACAGAGGGCCAGCATGGCTAGCAGGCGGTAGTCTGGGATGTCTCCGATGACTCGAGCTCCAGTTTCCTGGCCATCCTGTTTTTCCTCTTTGGCAGACATAAGTTCAAACACCTGGAATCAAGAGAGCGACTCAGGTCTGAACGTGGACTTGGGATTTGCTCTTCATTCATCCTTACCCATTTCTTTAAGAAAAGACTTGGGGTCTGGAGATTGTTAAACCTGGAAATCGCAAGGAGAAAGTCCAAATGATTATTATGCAGTTAAAGCAAGTTGTGTTAAGCACTGGCCAGGAAGACAGACTCTGGTTAATCCACACCTGGGATTCCCAGAGAATGGCACAGGATTAAGTAATTCATTTATCAGGTTCTCCCGAAGGGAAAACCCACAAGTATGCACTTCGCACCTTTGTCCAATTGTGGGCAAGCATGCACCTGGACGCACTTCCTGCCTACGCACCTCCCACCTAACGTCATCAAGCACGAACAGCAGCGCCCAGCATCCCAGGAAGTTATGTCCTTGGACAAGTGGGGTATACAGGTTAACTTTAGCCCTTATAGGGAGATGGCTCAATGATCGGGACCACTGGCTGCTTTCCCAGAGGGCCATGGTTTGGGAAAAATCGTAGAACCATCTCAGTCCAAGGGCATCTGACGCCCTCTTCTGGCCCCTTCAGGTACTGCAGGGCACGCAGACACACATCTAAAATAAAAATAAAGGGGTACATATTTATTTTTATTTGTGTATGTCTGTGTAGATAGGTGCCCAAGGAGGTCAGAAGGGGCCCGGGATGCTCTGAAGCTGATGGTGGTTGTTAATCCGACGCACCACCACAGTTTAAAGTCAAAATTGAAACGGGCTTTAATTAAATACTGGCCAGGTGGATGGACTCTGGCCAGATCCACACCGAGGTTCCTGGAAAATGGCCCAGAATCACAGTTTTCAGTGACTTAAGAAGGAAACCCCATAATTCATTGGCAATCAGGGGCAAGCATTCCTGCTGATGTAACTCCAGCCTGTGAATATTCTGCCCACATGGGGTCAAGCACATTTGGTGCAAACGGGCCAAACAAGCTTGTTTAGGGGAGTGAAATCATGTGCCTTGTTATCTCCCACAAAAAAACAGCCTCCAGCATTTCAAGAACTGCCGGTCCTTGGGCGAGAAGCTTGCAGATAAGAGGCATTTTTGTTTCATGGATCTCTTAGGCATAGTAATTAAAACTCAAAATGTAACTTTGGCTCTCAAAGTCGTGAGCTGCCTGACATTGGTACTGACTGACCTGTGGACCTCTGGAAGAGCAGCCGGTGCTCTTAATAGTGAGCCATCTCGCCGGGCGTTGGTGGCGCACGCCTTTAATCCCAGCACTCGGGAGGCAGAGGCAGGCGGATCTCTGTGAGTTCGAGGCCAGCCTGGTCTACAGAGCAAGTTCCAGGACAGCCTCCAAAGCCACAGAGAATCCCTGTCTCGAAAAACCAAAACCAAACCAAACCAAACCAAAACCAAAACAAAAACAAAAACAAAACAAGGTAAAGATGTGTTGCTTTTGTTACGCTGCATGCATTTGAACTCGGTGAAGCTGTGTTGCTGCGCCTGTCTAAATCACCTGATGGTCTAATAACGAGCTGCACGGCCAACAGAGAGGCGTGAGGAAGGACAGGCAGGGGCTGGCAGGCAGAGAGGATAAACAGGAGGAGGACTCTGGGAAAGAGGAAGGAGCAAGATAGAACAGGGAGAGGAGCCAGCCACCCAGCCACCCTGCCAGCCACAGCGTAAGCGCGAAAGTAAGATTACAGAAGTAGGAAAAGGAAAAAAAAACCCGGAGGAAAATGGTAGTCAGGATAATTTAAGAAAAGCTGGCTAAGGGCTGGAGAGGTGGCTCAGAGGTTAAGAGCACTGGCTACTCTTCCAGATGTCCTGAGTTCAATTCCCAGCAACCTGTAATGAGATCTGGTGCCCTCTTCTGGCCTGCAGGTGTACATGCAGACAGAACATTGTATACATAATAAATGAAAATAAGAACCTTAAAAAAGAAAAGAAAAGCTGGCTAGAAACAAGCCAAGTTAAGGCTGGGCACTTATAATTAAGAATAAGCCTCCCCTCGGAGTGTATATGATTTATTTATGAACTAGGTGGCGGGCCCCCCAAAAGAACCCAAAGAGCTTAATAGATTAAACACACACACACACACACACCAAAACAAAAAAACAACTGGTCTTTTATAACATTTTGTTCCCCAAACACTGTCAACGACTCCCCTCCCCCTGCCAAAGCTTCTAAAGCTTCTATTTTGCCCTTATAAAACAATCTAAAACAAATCTGTCTTTGGGCATGGTAACACTCAGCACTCAGGAGGCAGAAATATGTGGATCTCTTGGGATTTCAGCCCATTCTGGGGTACATGACACTTCCAGTCAGGAATATACAATAAGACTGTCTCAGAAAGGGAAGGAGGGAGGGAGAGAGAGACAGAGAGAGGGAGACGGAGAGAGAGACAGAGAGACAGAGACAGAGACAGAGAGAGACAGAGATAGAGGGAGAGAGACACAGAGAAATAGAGGGAGAGAGGAAGAGGGAGAGGGAGAGAGAGACAGAGAGAGACAGAGACAAAGAGAGGGAGAGAGACAGAGAGATAGAGGGAGAGAGAGAAAGAGAGGGAGAGAGAGACAGAGAGATAGAGGGAGAGAGGAAGAGGGAGGGAGGGAGAGAGAGGGAGAGGGAGAGAGAAAGGAGAGGGAGAGACATTTACTGGCATGATGGTCCATCTATAATCCCAGCGCTCTGAAGGCAGAGGCAGGAGGACTGTGAGTTCCAGTAATCCTGAGAAACATAATGAGACCATGTCTCACAAAACCAGAGATGAACAGGCTAAATAAAGCTGGCCATGGTGCTGAAATCCAGACAAGAGGAGTCAAGCCAGTCTCAGCTGCATGGTGAAGAGGAGGCCAGCTTGAGCTACCCGAAACTTCCTTAAAAACAAGAAACCAACCAAAGCCCAAACCAAAACGGTGAGGGCTGAGAAGATGACTCAGGGACACGTGTTTACAGGAAAGAGCAAGGCGTTGAGTTCAGACACCCAGAACCCGCTAAAGCGCTGGGCATGGCGGCACATGCCTGTAACCTCGGCACCGTAGGGCTTGAGATAGGCAGGTTCCCAGGGACTTGATGCACAGCCAGCCTAGAAACCACAAGCTCTAGGTGCAGGGAGAGACTCACACAGGAAGACACTTGATGTCAACCCCTGACCTTCACAGGAACATGAACAGATTAAGCATGAGTGCTTGAGGAACACACACACACACACACACACACACACACAGCTGGGGAGATGGTTCAGTGTGTAAGGGCATTGCTGTGTCAGTGTGAAAAACTGAGTTCAAATCCTGCAGGTGCTTGTAACCCAGCATGGGCAGGGGAGGGAGGTAAAGGCAAGCAGATCTCGGTGGGTCACTGGCTGGCCAGCCTGGCCAAAATGGCAAGTTTCTGGTCTAGTGAGAGCCCCTGAAGTCGAGATGGAGAGCCACCCAGGAATGCCTTCCTCTGGTTTCCATGTGAGTACACACACCTGTGTGCATGAACCACTTTCCCTTCACACACATGCATGAAACCAAACAAAACCAGATTAAGACTCATAATCACTTCTACAAAACCTTCACTAGAAGCCGGGCGTTGGTGGCACACGCCTTTAATCCCAGCACTCGGGAGGCAGAGGCAGGCGGATCTCTGTGAGTTCGAGGCCAGCCTGGTCTACAGAGTGAGTTCCAGGACAGCCTCCAAAACAATACAGAGAAACCCTGTCTTGAAAAACCAAAAAAATAAAATAAAATAAAAATAACTTCACTAGAAATTCCATATTCCCTTCTAAAACTCAGCCACAAGGCTTCCAATGTCTGCTCTGGTGATACTTTATAATCTAGCAAGAAAAACTTGTCTGAAGATCAGAGTGCAAATCTAGCCATACAGGTCAGGCAGTGGTGGCTTACACCTTTAATCCCAGCACTTGGGAGGCAGAGGCAGGTAGATCTCAGTGTGTTCAAGGCCAGCCTGGTCTGAAAAATGAGTTCCAGGATAGCCAGGACTGTTACACAGAGAAACCGTGTCTGGAAAAACTAAAGCCAAACAAACAAGTAGTAAAAGAGAAACAGAGCTCACACAAAGGTGGTCCCAGCTCTTGGGACCCCACACCTTTAATCTCAGCACTAAGGGGGTGGAGACAGCAGTGATATGGATGGGTGGAGAGAGGAATACAAGGCAGGAGGAGACAGGAACAGTCTGAGGTCTGGTGGGGACAGATGCAGTCTGGAGATGCAGTCTGAGGACAGGATCACCCCTTTGGTCTGAGCATTGGTAGAGGTGAGAACTCTCTAGCGGCCGGCTGCTTTGCTTCTCTGACCTTCAGCTTTAACCCCAATATCTGTCTCTGGGTTTCTGTTACTAATGCCAAATAGAATTCGTGCTACCTCTTCCTGTGAACCCTCCATGTTCCTCTCCAATCCTTAGCTGTTCACCCATAACCCTCCCCAGCTCATCACATGACTCCTTTGATTCTTTCTTTGACCCCCTATAAACTCCAACCCCTCCCCATGTCTGCCTATGTACCGTGCACTCTCCCGGCCAGCTGGTCCCAGAGCCGTGTCCGCCCCAAATGAACACTCAGGACCCTGTATCAATTAATGAAGCTGTGGGTCGTTTGCTACAGTTTCTTAATGGCTAGCTCTGACTTAAGTATTAACCCATAATTACTAATGTATATATATATATATTTTTTAAAGATTTATTTATTACATAGGCAGTGTTCTGACTACATGCCAGAAGAGGGCACCAGATAGAATTGTAGATGGTTGTGAGACACCAGGTGGTTGCTGGGAATTGAACTCAGGACCTTTGGAAGAGCAGTCAGTGCTCTTATCCTCTGAGCCATCTCTCCAACCCATTTTTTTTATAAGGTCTTATCTTAGCGAGGACGCAGCCTCATGCGCCCTCTCTTCCCAGGATCACATTGTGACTCCTCACTCTTGACTACATTTCCCAGAATCCTCCTCGACTCCTCGTCCCACCTATCTTGCTTCCCTATTGGCCAACAGTGCTTTATTTACAACCAATAGGACAACATATACACAGAAGGACTTCCCCCGTTATGCCTATACCCTCTTTTAAGTCTCCTGATAAAGACTTCTAACACATTTCCCCTGACCTTTAAAAAATTTGAACTCTGATGTGATGGATGTTTTGTCTGCATGTACAATCTGTGCACCAGACTGGAGTGACTGATGGTTGTGGTCTGCTGTGGGGTTGTTGGGAGTAGAACCCTGGTCCTCTGGAAAAGCAGCCGGTGATCTTAACCTCTGCCTTTTTGAACTCTGTCCTGGTCCTTTTAGAATTGCTTCCCTGCAGTGACCCTTTCCTCCCTGTGAACACCACTCTACCTTATTGCCACCCTCAAAAATTCCCAGTAGGTACCTGGAGCTGACATCCCTGGGCCAGGAAAGCTCTCAGCTACAGGCAACTCACTAGAGATTACTATGGCAACCAGGCAGGACCTGCCCTCCAGTCCCAGATTTCTACTTCTATTGGATGCTGGCTATAATGGAAGTTTAGTCCTGGCTACTTATTGGTCAGCCTGAGAATTCTGAGTTCCACCTTGAAAATGGGTCTGTAAAATAGACTTTTCTCTTCAACTTCCTTGCTTATTTATAGGTGCTTTCCGGACACCATGAAGCTTGGAAAATGACATTTGAGGCAAGAGTGATGTGGGCCTGGGGGCCTCAGGCTGCATTTGAGTGCCCTTGAGTGTGTGTGTGTGTGTGTGTGAGTGTGTGTGTTTGTGTGTGAGTGTGTGTGTGGGTGTTTGTGTGTGAGTGTGTGTGTGTGAGTGTGTGTGTGTTTGTGTTTGAGTATGTGTTTGTGAGAGTGAGTGTGTGACTGTGTGTGTGTGAGTGTGTGTTTGTGTGTGAGTGTGTATATGAGTGTGTGTTTGAGTGTGTGTTACGAGAAGTTTTATCTTGCTAGCCGCTTTGGTGTATCACCCGCCAGTCGCCTGGGCTCTGCCACATTGTAGTCCCCAAATAAACACACAAGACGCTGTATTAATTATGAAGCTGTTGGCCTTGCTTGTTTCTTACTGGCTAGCTCTGACTTAAGTAATTACCCCAAATTGTTAATCTAAGTATTTCTCTTACCGGAGAATAGTTCCGGGCTTCCTACCCCATGGCGGTTACATCTCAAACTCTCCTGTGTTTCTCCTTCCCAGAATCCTCCTGGATTCCTAGCCCCACCTATCTAGATTCCTATTGGCCAGACAGTGCTTTATTGACATATACACAGGACTTCCCCAACAAGTGTGTGTGTGTGTGTGTGTGAATGTGTGTATTCCTGTGCGGGTATGTATGTGCACACACACAGTCAGGACATTTGCCCCTCCCACACCCAGTCCCACACCCAGTGACCTCAGGGAGCTCAGCCTTGCCTTTAATTTGGTACACAGCTGAAGGTGGGTTTGAATGTCCGATCCTCCTGCCACCACCCCGTGATGCTGGCTGGTGATGATACCCAGGGCTTTGTGCAGGACAGGCAAGCACTCTACCCACAGAGCCGCATCCCCAGCTCAAGTCTTTGTTTTTACCAGGCAGGATATCTCAGAAAAGTCCAGGATGGCTTCAAACTCACCTGAAATCCTAGCCCTTGGGAGGCGGGGTCAGGTGGATATCAGGAGTTCGAGGTCAGTGTTGGTCGGCTACTTAACAAGTCAACTAGATTCCAGGAGATAGTCACAGAAAAACAAACACAGCGGGGTCTGGGAGACAGATGGCTTAGTTGCTAAAGAGGTCCCGCTTCTTACCATGCTTTGGAAAAGACTCAGAATCCACTGTCTTTTTAAAGGATTTTTTTTTAATACTTGTGTATGGACGTGCGTCTGTGTGTGTCTGTCTCTGACCCACAGTGTAAACCGCAGGCATGCACCCCAGTGTTCAGCTTTCTTGTGGGTGCTGGGACTTGAACTCGGGTCTTCGCACATTGACCTCCAAACGGCCCACCCACTGAGCCATCCCCCTATGCGCCACTCCCCGCTTTGGCTTGTTGGCAGGCTATGCTCCCACTTACTTTGTAGCTAGCCTTGAGTCCTCTGGCTGCACAAGTGTAAGCTCAGGTCCCCAAAGCCATGTGGAAAGCCCAGTGTTGTGGTCTGTCTGTAACCTCAGCACCAGGGGACAGGGTATAAGTGGATCCTGGGAGCTCACTGCGCCAGTTGCAAGTTCCAGATTCAGTGAGAATCTTCGTCTCAAAAAGCGAAGGTGGGGCCGGGCGTTGGTGGCGCACGCCTTTAATCCCAGCACTCGGGAGGCAGAGGCAGGCGGATCTCTGTGAGTTCGAGGCCAGCCTGGTCTACAGAGCGAGTTCCAGGACAGCCTCCAAAGTCACAGAGAAACCCTGTCTTGAAAAACCAAAAAAAAAAAAAAGCGAAGGTGGGGAACGATAGAGGTAGATGTTGACCTCTATTGACCCCTTACCTCCAAATGCTCATAGGCAGGCATACACATGTATTAGGCACAAAGACACCCCCCACCAAAAAAAAAAAAAAAAAAAAAACACAAGAGGTAGAAAAAGTGAAATTGCTGCTAACTACCAACAGGTGGCACTGTTGCTCACCTACAAGTCATATCACAGCCCACCTGTTTTCTTGTTTGGCTGACTCAAGTTGTATGATCTGCAATTCTTCATAGTGCAAAAGTGGGTAGAGTCTGAAAAATTAATATTCAGAGTTTGCCTCCTTCTCCTCTTCTTCTTGCCTCTTCTACACCCCCCAGACAGGGTTTCTCTGTGTAGCCCTGGCTGTACTGGAACTAATTCTGTAGACCAGGCCGGTGCCTTGAACTCAGAGATCCACATGCCTCTGCCTACCAGTACTGGGATTAAAAGCTTTTCCCCAGTGTGTCCAGTCCAAGGGTTTTTTTTTGTTTTGTTTTGTTTTGTTTTGTTTTTTTCGAGACAGGGTTTCTCTGTACTGTTTTGGAGGCTGTCCGGGAACTTGCTCTGTAGATCAGGCTGGCCTCGAACTCACAGAGATCCTCTTGCCTCTGCCTCCCGAGTGCTGGGATTAAAGGCGTGTGCCACCAACATCCGGCCCAGTCCAAGATTTCACTTATTTTATTTTTTTAAATTTATGTGTATGAATGTGTCTGTATTTATGCCAGTTGTGTGTGGTGTCAGTGGGGGTCAGAAGAGGCCGTTTGGTTTCCTGAAGTTGGAGTTATAGGCAGTTATGAGCCACCTGACGTGACTGCTGGGAACTAAACCCTGGTCCTCTGCAAAAGCAGGAAATTCTCATAAACATTATCTATCTACCTATCTACCTATCTATTTATCTGATAGGGAATGGGGAAATCCTTCTGTATATATGTTTCTCTCTCTTTTTTTTTTTTTTGGTTTTTCGAGACAGGGTTTCTCTGTGGCTTTGAAATCCATCCTGAAACTTGCTCTTGTAGACCAGGTTGGTCTCAAACTCACAGAGATCCACCTGCCTCTGCCTCCCGAGTGCTGGGATTAAAGGTGTGCGCCACCACTGCCCAGCTTATTAGCCAGTCTACAAGAGCTAGCTCCTGGACAGCTTCTAAAGCCACAGAGAAACCCTGTCCCCAACCCCCCACCCCCCCAAAAAAAAAGAAAGAAAGAAAAATGTTGCCTCAGCAGGGTGAAAGGTGAGGGCCAGATCTCAAAAGTTGTCTTCTGAGCTGCAGACACACACACACACACACACACACACACACACACACACACACACACATACACATACACACACACTCACACACGCATATACACACACACTCACACACATACACACTCACACACACATTTTTAAAAAATGAAGAATTTGCTTATTTTTGATTTCCATACACACACATTTTTAAGAAATGAAGAATTTGCTTATCTTTGATTTCCCAGACCACCTGTTTTCTTTGTAAAGCATACATACTGATTACTAAGGTGGGAATATATTTAGAAATCTGGATGAATGTTTACTTTCTACATGACTTACCTTTCAAGCTGAGGTGCTAGGCTTCTGGTGTCTCAGAGCAGGAAAAGAAAACAGAAACCTTGGCCAGGCATAGTGTCACACATTTTTATTTTTTATTTTATTTATTTATTTATTTATTTATTTATTTATTTTGGTTTTTCGAGACAGGGTTTCTCTGTATTGTTTTGGAGGCCATCGGTCCAGCCCAGCCTCGAACTCACAGAGATCCGCCTGCCTCTGCCTCCCGAGTGCTGGGATTAAAGGCGTGCGCCACCACCGCCCGGCTTGTCACACATTTTTAATCCCAGCCATCAGGAGGCAGATGCAGGCAGATCTCTGTGAGTTGGAGGCCAGCCAGGACTACATAGTGAGTTCCAGGACATCTAAAACTGCGTAGTGAGACCCTGTCTCAAAAACAAGAACAACAAGAATTTTGTAGTCCCAAAATTCAGAAGGCAGAAGCAGAAGAACAGAGATTTCAAGGCCAGCCCCGGGCCACATAAGTGAGACCTTGTCTCAAACAGAAGACACAAAAAACATGAAGAAAACAGGAAGCTTTCTCACATTTTGAGACTCCAACATCAAGCTTGTAAGAGACAAAGGGGAATATGTCAAAGAATAATAACGGATTTCATGGGACTGGAGAATGTAGCTGGCCTAGCATGCATGAAGTCCTGGGTTCGAACCCCAGCACTGTATAAACAGAGTGTGATTGTGCATGCTTGTAATCCTTTACTCGGCAAATCAGTTCAAGGTCATTCCTAACTGCAAGTCGAGTTTGAAGCCATCCTGGGCTGTCTAGGTCTAAGAGCCTATCTCAAAACACACACACACACACACACACACACACACACACACACACACACACGATAGGTAAGTAGATGATAGATAGGTAGATGTTACTGAAAGTTTTCTGTCCCAACCTGGTCCCGCAGTCGTTAGCTCCAAATAAACACATGGATGCTATATTAGTTATTAAACTGTTGGCCAATGACTAGAGTTTCTTATTGGTTAGCTCTGTCTTAATTATTAACCCATTTCTATTAATCTAAGTATTTCCATGTGATTTATCTTACCAGAGAAGGGTCTGGACCTGTTACTCCTTTGGTGGCCTACATGGCAACTGTTCTGATGGGCTCCCTGTGCCTACCTTTCCCAGGATTCTCCTCATCTCCTAGTTCCCCCGTCTTCCTGCTTTATTGGCCAACAGTGATTTATTCATCAACCAATAAAAGAAACATATGCACCAGGTGTGGTGGCACATGCCTTTAATCCTAGCACTCGGGAGGCAGAATTGTACAGCAAGTGCTTTTAAACACTCCCGCCAAGGCATGCAGGTTTATCAGTATCTCGGTGATCAGATGATGAAAATCCATACATGCCCCATTTCATGGCTCTGGGCTTCACCGTTATGACATTGTTTATGGTTTTGTTTTTTGTTAGTCTGAGTCAGGGTCTCATGTGTGTTAGGGCTTTAACTCACTGTGTAGCTCAGGTTGGCCTTGAACTTCTAGTCCTCCTGCTGATACTTTCCAAATTCTGGGATTATAGAGGTGTGCCACAGTGTCTGACGGCATTATCGCAGTCTGATTTTTCCCAGGATCTAAGTAAACACAGCCCCAGTGAAACCATCATTGACCAGAAAAGCATCTACAGACACAGGTGAAGCCAGAATATTCCCTCCAATTTTATTGGGCTAAGAAATATGATTTTTCTTTTCAGGAAAGAGCCGCTCAGTGGCTTACGCAGGTTTAGGACTTGAGTGTGGGCCTCCAAGGTAGACGGAGAAACAGCTGGTCAAATGACAGTGAGCTGGTGTCGCGTGGGCAGGCGGCCTCGGGGCTTCTGGAGCTGGTGTGTTGCTTGGGTGTTCAGCTTTTTGGTTGGTGGGCTTCTTGGCTAAGGGATGTCAGAAGCTCTGAGTTTCTTCTTGGTGGCTGGTCAATGTCTAAGCGGGCGTGTCTGCTGGGGAGCGGGGCCGGTGGATGCTGAGGCTAGCAGTCATACAAACAGGACATATGCGTAAATGATGCCTAAACCCGCCAAAATGGCGAGCACGTCCATCCAAATAGTTCGAGATGAGTTCAAATAAGCGTCTTCCCAGTCGCTGCATTTATTGGCCTCTCTGGTCTGTAAGAGTGGGAGCATGGGTGTGGGTTTCTGAGGCTGGAAGCTCTTGGATGAAGGGTGGGAGCCCTCTAGGCACTGCGGGGAGAGCCCAACCCGAGAGCACGTGAGCAGTTACTGGTGGCTAGCAGAGGACAGGATGGGCAGTGTCTTGGGGGATAGTTTTACCTGGCGGCTGAAGTAGACGGCTATCAATCCGAAGGGTGGGAAAAAAATCAGTGCAATGAGTGTCAAGAAGAAGTAACTCCGAGCATAAAACGCTCGCTCTTCTTTAGTCTGTGGGCGGTCTAGCCGCTTCCTAGCCATGGTCTTTCCATGCAAAGGGAGATCCTGGTGTCTTGAAAACAGAGACTCAGACCCACCTCCCTTCCCGGGGCTCTACCCAGAATCTTAAGAACTGGAAGATCGAAGGCCATTCTTCACAATGGAGCGAAGAGCATCCCCAGTTCTGATTGGCTGCCCTCAAGAGGTAGGCGTGGCCCCGCCGCTTTTAGGCACCTCAGGCCTTCGAGGGTGGGGCTAGGTCCTGTGATGCTCGTTCTCACCACCCTCCGGGATTTTGGGCTCTTTCTTCTGCAGTGCCGAGGATAGAGCAAGGGAGGCTCTGAAGAGCAGCTAGATAAATCTGAAAGAAAACTAGATTTAGCTGGGCGGTGTAGTGCACATCTTTTTTTTTTTTTTTTTTTGGTTTTTCGAGACAGGGTTTCTCTGTGACTTTGGAGACTGTCCTGGAACTAGCTCTTGTAGACCAGGCTGGCCTCGAACTCACAGAGATCCGCCTGCCTCTGCCTCCAGAGTGCTGGGATTAAAGGCGTTGCGCCACCAACGCCCGGCGTAGTGCACATCTTTAATCACAGCACTTGGGAGACTGAGGCAGGTGAATCGCTGTAAGTTCAAGACCAGCCTACTCTACACAGCAAGCTCCAGGACTACATAGTGAGATCCTATCTCAAAATAAACAAGAAGAGGGTCAGTTTGAGGCCCTCTACACAGTGAGCTCCAGGACAGCCAGGGCTACAACAGAAACCCTGTCTCGATACCCTCCTCCCCCCCAAAAAAGTATTAAAGGTATGTGGGTTGCCTCAAAGAGTCGGATTAGAAATAGATCTTTCCACTTCAAATTAAGAAAAAAAAAAGAGAATTAAAAAAAATCCCTCGAAGGCGTGTTCCTCCTTTTTTGGGTTTTAGTTAATTCAAGATGTAGTTAAGGCGACAACCCAGACTAGCCATCCCGCTAGGTGTCAGTTTTCAGACAGTAAAGACCACAGGGAGAACTGAACAAGGCTGCCTTTCCAATTCTTCAGCATCTCCAGTTTTCCCATCACAGGTAAAACCAAGCCGTTCCCTTCCCCTTACTCCTGATTGGCTCATCAGGAAGCCCAACCCTGGTCAGAAGACCTTCCTTCCAGCTTTCTCTCTAGGGGAAGGTTGTTGGCCCCTTCCTGGCCCGCCCGCCCGGCAGCTCTTCACCCACAGTGGGACGGGGCTGGGAAATGGAGCGGGGAGGGAGATGCTGAGAAACCAGAGTTGGAAAGAGAGACAGTAGTCTAAGTGCGGTGCTGCATGCTGGTAAAACCCCACTCTCGGCTGGAGGCAGGAGGATCTGCCGCTCAAGATCTCCAGTATTTCTTCTTGCTGCTGTTTTGTTTTGGCGCTCTGGTGATGCTGGCTTCATGTTCTGTGTTGGAAGCATTCTCTTCGCTCTCTGCATTTGGGAGGGTGTGTGAGGACTGGTGTGTGTGTGTGTGTGTGTGTGTGTGTGTGTGTGTGTGTCCAGGTTTGCATGAACAAATGACACAGAAGGCACATGGAAAGCATGTCTTTCTCAATCACCTGCCATCTTATTTTGTTTTTTGGAGATAGGGTCTCACTGTGTAGCCCTGGCTGTCCTGGAACTTGCTGTACAGACCAGGTTGGTCTCAGATTTAGAGATCTGCCTGTCTCAAATCCTCCCTCGAAATATTAATAATCTTATCATTTCCACTGATCCTACCTTTTTTCCCCTCAGAGACAGTATTTTTCTGTGCAGCTCTGGCTGTCCTGTAACTCACTCTGTAGACCAAGCTGGCCTTGAACTCACTGAGATCCCCCTGCCTCCGCACCCCACCACCACCCAGTTCCCGTTCCCCTTTTCAAAAAAGATTTACTTACTCATGTGCATGGATTCTTACATGTATGCCTATGTACCACATGCATACCCTCGGGCAGAAGAGAGCATAAGATCCTCCTGAATCTAGAGTTACAGATGGTTGTTAGCCCTCTGCAGAAACAAGAAGTGCTCTTAACCACTGCGCTATCCCTTTGTTGGGTTCCAGGAACGCGCAGATAGTTGATAGACCACTGAAGTCTATCAACCAGAAGCAGACTTTATTCTAGACACCACGGAGCAAAAAGAGACTTCCAGCTCCCTGGGGCCATAGTCAGAGTTGTGAGCCTCTTTTTTTGCTTGTTTGTTTTTCGAGACAGGGTTTCTCTGTAGTGCTTTGGAGCCTGTCTTGGAACTCTCTTTGAAGACCAGGCTGGTCTCAAACTCACAGTGCTGGGATTAAAGGCGTGCGCCACCAATGCCTGCCTCTTGAGCCTCTTCTTGTAGTGAGAGCCAAGCGCCAGGTGTGGGCCAAAGAGATGTTACAATTTTGAGGTTAGGCTTTGGGGAAGAATTAAAGGAACTGTTACAATCTTGAGTTTAGGCCTTTGAGTCATGTTACATTTTAAGATTTACAGTTTTTTTGATTGCAGGGTTAGTTTAAGATATTTGCAATTGATACAGCTGCTTTCCCTGAAGCTGGAGAGAACACATAGAGGCAACGGTTAAAGGTTAAAGGAATAGGGGCTGGAGAGATGGCCCGGTGGTTAAGAGCACTGACTGTTCGTCCCAAGGACCAGGGTTCAATTCCCAGCACACGGTAGCTCACAACTCTCAGTAGCTCCAGTTCTAGGGGACCTGACACTGTCACACAGACATACATGCGGGCAAGACGCCAACGCACATCAAATAAAAACAAATACATTGAAAGCACTGAATGAAATAAAAAAGGTAAAGGAATATAAAGCAGAGGGTCACATAGAGGCAACGGTTAAAGGTCAAAGGTTAAAGGAACGTGGCACAGGGGGTCACTTAGAAGCAACGGTTAACCTTTGCCCTCAGTAGCTGTTGGCTGTAAGGCAGGGAGCAACTGTTAAAAGTCAACCTTTGTTTACAGTGGCTGTCAGCTCCAGTTTCCCAAGAACATGTGTAGGCTTACGATTTTTTTTTGTATTTCCAGGCTCTTCAAGACCTTCAGCCCCTCTTAATTAATTTTTATTTTATTTTATTTTATTTTTTTACGAGACAGGGTTCCTCTGTATTATTTTGGAGGCTGTCGGACCAGCCTGGCCTCAAACTCACAGAGATCCGCCTGCCTCTGCCTCCCGAGTGCTGGGATTAAAGGCATGCGCCACCACTGCCAGGCTCTTAATTAATTTTTTTGATGAGAAATACTGTTTTACGTGCACGGGTGTTTTGCCTATATGTATGCCTGTGCGTCACCTCTGTGCTTGGTGCCTGAGGAGGCCGGAAGAAGGCATCAGATTCCTGGAACTGGAGTTACAGAGGGTGTGAGTCACCGTGTGGGTGCTGGGAATCGAACCCCGGGTTCACTGGAGAGCAGCCAGTACTCTTCGCTGCTGAGCTGTCTCTCTGCCCTTGATCCTCTTCTTTTTATAGAGCAATTGCTCTGTCTTTCCCACACACTCATCCCTCCGTTTGTCCACTAGTTCCGTCCTTCTTTCCACATCTCTTTTCCAGAGACACTGACTGGCTGGATAGCCTGGTTGGCCTTAAACTCACCATCCCCCTGCCTCAGTCTCCTAGTGCTAAGATTATCAGCCAATATCCCTACTCCTTCTTACTCCTCAAACTGTTTATGTGTTTGTTTATTTGTTTATTAATTCATTAATATTGTTATTATAATTATCTTGGTTTTTTGGAGACAGGGTTTCTCTGTGTCTTTGGAGGCTGTCCTGGAACTAGCTCTTGTAGACCAGGCTGGCCTCCAACTCACAGAGATCCATCTGTCTCTGTCTCCCGAGTGCTGCTGGGATTAAAATAGGCCTGTGCCGCTACCACCTGGCTCATGCTCTAGGATTAATTTACGCCATGGATAGTAGTCTCTCCATGTAAATAACCTCATTTACTCAGCCACAGGCTTATATATCATGTCCTTGATACCCTCGCCAAGTCCTTTTCTTGGATTTACGAGTGAATCCTTCCCACAATCCTAGTGGCTACTTTGGGTTCACTGCTTGAGTTAGATGGAAATAGTCTGTCCTTCCAATACATCCTTCCTCTCCTGGAGAAGGTTTTGTTTTCCTTGCTTTCTCTTGGTCAACGCGGTTGGTTTCTCATAACTGACAGTTTCTTCTCTGCGTGTGTCCTGGTAGGGTCTGGACAGCAACAGTCAAGGATACTAGCAGCCACTGGTACCCAGGAATGCATGAGCATCCTACACGAATCCTCCCAAATAACGAACCAATCCAGAGTTGATCAAAGGAAGTGGGTGGGGAGATTGGTGGGGTGGAGGAGTCTAGGGGCTTTGAGTCTTAGAACTTGGGGCCGATTAGAACAAGAGTGGGAGCTGGGCAGTGGTGGCGCACGCCTTTAATCCCAGCACTCAGGAGGCAGAGGCAGGCGGATCTCTGTGAGTTTGAGGCCAGCCTGGTCTACAGAGTGAGTTCTAGGATGGCCAGGGATACACAGAGAAACCCTGTTTTGAAAAACCAAACCAGCCAGCCAACCAACCAAACAAACAAAACCCTGAGCAATTGAAGACAAATTTTAAAAGATTTATTTTTATGTATATGTAGGAATGTTTTGCTTGAATGTCTATATGTGAACTCTATGTACATGCATGGAGCCTAAGAAGTCTAGAAGAGGGAGTCGGATCATCTGGACCTGGAGTAACAGATGGTTGTGAGCTACCATGTGGGTGCTGGGAATCAAACTCAGGTTCTCTGGGAAAACAGTCATTGCTCTTAACCACTGAGTCATCTCTCCAGCCCTGCCTGAGGAATTTGTATGTGTCCCTGGGTACACAGGTGTATAAAAAATAGGTATTTAAATCAAACATGAACTAATAAAAATAATAAAGTAGGGTGGTGGTGGTGGCGCACGCCTTTAATCCCAGCACTCGGGAGGCAGAGGCAGGCGGATCTCTGTGAGTTCGAGGCTGGGCTGGACCGACAGCCTCCAGAACAATGCAGAGAAACCCTGTCTTGTAAAAACCAAAAATAAATAACTAAATAAAGTTATTTTAAAATGATTATTGGGTATATGTCTACCCTGTTTTGTTTCTATGTCACTGTAATAAAACACTGAGCCAAACAATCTTGGGTAAAAAGGAAAGAATTATTTGGCTTACACATGAACATCAAAGTCTGCCGTGAAGGGAAGTCAGGGTGGGAACTCAAGCAGGAACCTTTA